TGGGGGTTGACCACTTTTTCTGGAGAACCGCCAAATCCAAAGAAAAAATGGAAGCCACTGAGCAACTGCAAAACCAGAGGAAGGCTACTGGTGCGATGCCGATAGCCTTGGCTTATCCTTCTTTGGCTCCGAAGGCATCTCCCCATTCCCCCGCAAATCGACGCGGACCCCACAGAGAGGGTCCCGCCAGAAGGTGATTCCTCTAGACATCATGGTTTTGTGGGTTTGTTTGTGTGGTGCTTGTGGTGTTTGTGTTTTCTTTGTGGGTTTTGCAGGTTTCGTGTATATCTGCAGGCGAGCACCTTGTGGAAACGCACAAATGAGAGGGCATCCTGTTCAGTGTCCGCGGGGAAGTGTGTCATCTGCCGTCCACCAGGTTCGAATGAACGCATCCGCAAGACGCCAAGTACATACAGCTTGTTATGTCTTTGCCAATCACCTAATATGTCTACCCAGTTGTCCAGTGACCCTGGTAGACCCCTTTTGTTAAAGGACTGAACAACTGGGTTAAGTTCACGGGTCAAGATGTATTCGTGATTCCACCTCAGCTTTTGGCCCCCATCCAAACATATGTGTTGCTTAAATAATGTAAGATCATATCAAACGAAATTCCAGACTGCGCCTGCATCGCTTCCCAGTACGCGGGCCCCGCCGGCGTCGCTTCCCTTGTGGAAACCAGCTTGAATCTACGATCAAACGAGCCTAGGTCCTCCAGTAGAGAGGTTAGAATAAGGGTACCCTGTTTCTGTAGTCTATTTTGGTAGGGGAACCCTCCCAAGAAAAAGGGTAAAAGGGCACTACTGGGGGACCTAGGAGCAGCTCTTCTCTTTCTGCTGGGACTGTGCCAATTATGTTCGTGTTCAGGCATATGTTTAAAACTCAGTTGGACCAAGTTGGACCCCATGTTGGTTTAATCCCAGAGAAAAATCAACGCAAAGTTGAAGGGGCTACATAAGTATCGACTTTGTTGCCTCGTTGACTCAATTGCCTTACTTTAGGCTTATATAGAGTACCCAAGACCACCATGCTACTTATGTAGGCGCCCCAGTGCTCGCTGCCCAACGTCTCCGAGCGGCTGTACTTCTTCGCCAGCCGGGGCTTTTCGGGCTCCTCCTGACATCTTCGGAGTCCGAGCATGCATCAAACTCGCGGCCGGAAAAAAAAAAAAAAGCAAACCCTGGTTTATGTCGAGGCTCACACTTGGAGAGTCACAATTCCGAACATTCGCACGACCCCGTTGCAGTTGCCCCCGACAGTGACGCCTTGTGGTCAAAGGAGCACAAACTAAGCCAAACCCCCGTCTGGATCAGGGGTATCCCGCGCCTCTCACAAAAGTCTACTGCTCGCTTTCGCTCGTGAAGAACGCGGCGGAACGGGCCGGAACAACATTCCGATGAAAGAACCTCGGCGATTGGAGGTAAACATCTGCTTCTGCTCTATCGTTCTGAAGCCGGAAAGGATTCCCGAGTCCAGGAACAAAACGCATGAGGAGCTCGTTGAACCCTCCGATGAGCTCGGTTCTTCAATCACACGCCGACCAGCAATCATACGAGAAAGCTCTGGGATGGCTCCCACAGAGTCGAGAATCAACTCGCTCAACGAACAGATTCGTCCTAGGAATCCACGAAAAAGGTCGCCCAGAGATCGACAAGCAACACGGATCCTCTGGCGGACACGGATTCCACCCAACCCCAATCGTCTACCCGGAATGGAAGGTGCCCATGGCGAGCGAAATTACCAGGAGTGAGCCCTTGAACATCCTGGATGCGGGCAATGCACGCGGCAAAGGGAAGCAATCCACACAAATGGGTCGGGTGTTCGGTTTTTAATGTGAAGAATTGATTTTCGGGAGAGAGGGGGGGGCCTCGGGTCTCAATCTCCTACTACGAAGTCCCAATCCAAGGAATCCCCCAAAAATGGATTACTTCCCCCCACTTAAAGGGCTACCTCCCATGAGTATAAGGTGCTTGGTTTGCAAGTTTTTGCCACACAGCCTGCAACAAGGCATCGCCACGTATCAGACCTCTCCTAGGCCTTTCAAGGCTCCAGCCTCCACATCCAGCGTCACCGTCTTCTGCGTCCGCGGCTTCTCCTTGTCAAACCTCGCAGCGCGCTCGGCCTGCGGCTGGAGAGCGTGCGATCTCTTTGCCAAGCCTCTGACCTGACCACTGAGGCGAGTAACCACTGATTAGTTGTTGTTCATTGCAAATGCCATTCTGAGGCCCCCCCTACGTCATATTTTTTGGTGAACCTTCAAATGCAAAAGGACGTCAAAAGAGCTCCCGCAAAAAAGGTCCTCCCTTTCCCTGGGGGAAATCTTCTTTAGTGCTCCTCACTTGAGGGTTGATCAATATTCCTTGCCCCAAAAAAGGGTAACAATCCCATTTCGTGGGCGACACCCTCCCTCCCACAAACATGGCACCTGACAGGGGTCACCTCAAAAAGAATCTATTCCAAGTAACACAGGTGCCATGTTAGTTGGAGGGAGGGTATCATTATCATCCTTTTGAGTGGTTCTCCAACCAATGGCCCTCCCATGACCGGACCTTCTGCTCAGCCCCACTCGGCCGGCCTTCACCGCCGCGGCACCGCCGCTCATGGCTCATTCGAGGCATGGGGCGGCCGGTGATCTGAGGCGTTGTCGGGCTCAAACGAACCCGGAGCTCCGCCCAAACGGTTTCAGCACCCTTGTGGGGTCCGCAGGTCCAAAACGGGATCCATGTTGGCTCCGCCCTCTGATTGTGAAGGATTTGCATCAACCATGATGACCTCTCGGAAAATTGGAGAAACGCATGTGATAGAGACAAAACCCAGGTTCAGTGGATTTGCGGAACAAGCGGAGTTGGGGTGGGCTATGCAAACTCTTTGGGACGGCCGTCATAGTCTCTGGCGGTCTATGGCTAGCTTGAGGCTCCGCGAACCTCCAAAAAAACCTCGAGCCGCCGGTCAGTCGCTCCTTCGTGCGAGGGCAGCAGGTTCAAAACTTCGGAAACACGCGGCAAAAGCCACTTGCTTGGCTCTCCCCCAAGGCGGATCTTTGCCCCCTCGTCCTGGTTTCATTTCCTCCTGGATCATCCAACGACACATTAGTCTGTAGTACTCAATCCACTCCTCGAAGAATTGACTGTTTGAAAAACAGGCAGCTGGAGACACCACTAAAATGTTTGCGCTCCTATGCACTTTGGTGCGCTGGCGTACACATTACTTTTGCATAAGGTTTGCACCTGCGTTGCGCTCGTTTTGCTCGGAACCGGAAACAGCTTTCCTTTTTATGTATCGACAGAGGGGCGGCAGAATTGAATTCGAGGACAAACTTCCCAGGCTACCCAACATCCCCACGAGTTTCTGTCTTCTCAATGCTCAGGCCGCGAAGAGTTGGCCAGATCACGTACAACTTTCTAGAGGAGAAATGCCCGAGAAATATGTGGCTGTGGCTCAAAAAACCGGTACCAAAATGGAACCCTGATAAGTGGAAACATGGACCAAAACCTGCGTAACCCCTCCTGTGTAATTTTGAGCCACACCCTAATATCATGCTTATACTGCTTGCATCAGGTATCAGAAGGTATCATAAAGCATCAGTATCTAAAACTTGGGCCCTTGTGAGGATCTCAGATGCACAAAAGCCGTCTTCAAATAATTTTGCGTTCAGTGCAAGCAGAGCACTCACGGAACTTATGACCCTCACCAGTACTGATCTGAAACTGCCAAATTTGTACGCAAGTGTCCCTCTTGGCCTGCAGCAAGGAGAAAACCAACTTGGGATAAAACGGCCTTGCTGACAACCAACGAGGGTGCCTTAATAGGCCCGATCAAAAACGGTTCCCTGCGCCCCTTTCTCTCATCGCCACGCGCTCGTCTGCTTCGTGGCCTCAGGGGCCAAGGTCTCAATTTTTTTTGCCTTCTCCCGGGGTCGACAGTTCACTTCCCCGGCGAGTTGGAGGAACCAGCATCTACTGCAGCCAGTTGACGTCAAAAGGCGGGCTTGGGCCAGAAGACATCCATGTGGCTGTGGGTCAAAATCCCGTACCCCCGGTGAACATCCCAATCCCCACTAAAATAGGTTCTAAAATGGGTGGTGATGTGGTTCTTGTCTTTTGGAATCGCATTCCACAAAGGAACCGCTCCAAAGCGGGAGGGCTGCCAGAACAAAAATCGGATGCTGTCAACGTTGTGCCGCCCTAAGGCGCCCATCGATTTGATAACCCCCATGACAGTGGAACCTCCGTTGGATCTACAGAGGCTCATGAATCCGCCAGAGTTTTGCCTTTTGATATCCTTGAGGCCCTTGAGGCACTTGAACACAGATGTGCAAAGCGTGAAGCAACTGGGGCTTCAAAAGAATCTCATCAATAGCCATCCAATGTTTGTTTTTAATGTGCTTGTCTCAAAATGGTTTGTTCCCCCCTCCAACCCAAAAAAAAGAACGGGCAGCTTCCAAGCGGGTGTCCCTTCAAAGCAGGCGAAAAGAACGGGCTCTCGAAAAGACTTGCGACTCGGAGAACCCGGGAAGGCCACACCGAGACAAAGAGTTGTTCGTCAGAGCGGCTACAACTAGGTCCTGTGGAGAGGTTAGAATAAGTTGGTACCAACTTTTTTCAGGATGTTTATTTTCGTAGGGCACCAATTGCTGGGGGACCTAGACAAACCAACCAACTCATGAGCCCTAGTCAAACCTGCAGGTGGTCAACCTGCGCCGCAAAGCTTTTAGGAGTTTGCGAGCGTGTAGCTGAACAAGGGTGTTTCTTAATGTTACAATATGGTATCCTTTGGGCGTTGGTTTAGAGGGAAACAAACGGGAAGCCTATTTGAGGGGTTCACCCTTGATACAACCCCGCAAAACCTGGCCAGCGTCAAGAGTGGTTCTCACACACTAGTTGTACCTAAGGGGTCTCCATACAATTGCAGAGGGTCTCTGGAGGTTTCGAAGGTTTCTTGGTTCCAACAAACACTCCAAGTGTGGCTCCCCCACGCCTTGCCGGCCCCCCAACCTCGCCCGCCTCCTCTAGCAGCTGCAGTTCCATCTGGAAGCCCTGCCGAAGCCAACGGGGGAAAGTTCTTCCCAGGGGAACCCAGACCTGAAGCAAATGATGACCCCTTTGCATCTCATGTCCAACCAGCTTGGTGAGACCCCAAGTCGGGGTGGAATAGGACCACCGCAGTCGCCTGTCTTGAAGGGCAACGCGGGAAACCAAAAAATGGCGCGAAACCAGGAGCAAACACCAGTGGAGGGACCCCTATTGGAATGCATTAGTGTCGGGGGGGGGGGGGGGCAGGGTTAAAAAAAACGACCAGTTTCTGAGACGGCCCAAGTAACTCAACCCCACTTGCTCCATGCTTGGTCTTGGGAGCCACATGGCATCACCCCAAAGCTGGTGTAACTGTTTCCAGTCAGTGGGCAAGACTTCGATCAGCTTCCAAAACGTTAGAAGCCTTGAGGTCAAACGAAGTCCCAAGCCAAATCCCCCCTGCTGGCGCTGAGCTCTGGCAAAACCGCCTCCCGGGTATGTCATATGAAGCTCGGCCAAAACCAAAAAGCTCCAAGCAAAAATCCCAGCCCAAAAAGCCCTCTCCAAGCACACACACACACACACCAAACAAACTCAAAACACAACAGTCTGGTTGATTCCCTAACACTGTAACTACACACCAACCAATCATGGTAATTGTCAGGATCTCGCGTGCATATTTGACAATATGTCCGGAATCCAACAACTCCTGCTCTCTTGAGCCGTCAAAATGTCCGTCCGCTTGCGCCGCAGGCCAACAGAACAGAATGGTCGGCACAGGATGCGGCCACGTGAGCGATTTGGACAATTTGCCAAGAAACCGCAAAACCCAAAAGCCTCAAAAACCCCCCAACAACTCCAAAACTCGAAGCACCAAGAACCCAAACTGCAAGAACCCAAAAACCCAAGATTCGCCAAAATTTGGCCAAAAAACCCCAACAAAAACCCAAAATCCAATTTGGCCAATTTGGACAAAACCCCAAGACTCCAAGAAACGAATTGCATGTGCGCCTGCTGCACCTCTCGGCGCGCGTCCATGCCCGTGGCACGCTGCTCCGCCTCCTGCTGCAACCTGGATGGGAAGAATGCACCCGCACAACGTCCGAGTGAGTCGCTCGTGCTGTGATTGCGCTTGAACGCTCAGTGCGCTGTCTGAAGGTAACAAAGAACACATTGCCTCACTGCCTGAGTGGATGGCCCAAAAAAAGTCTAAACTTTACATTTACCACCAAAATGGTCTTCCCAAAAAGTTTAAAGTTCATGAACATTGCACGTGCCGTTGTGCAAATGTCAAGAGCTCGAAACAATCTGAACATGTCTTCCCATTGCCGGGATGGCGATTGCCGGCAATACTGCGAACTCCAATGCGCATGCCCTCCAAAAATGTTTTGGAGAAAACTGTACAACCCTTGGTCTGGCTCGCAACACGCCAATATGTTTTTGTTTTCTTCTTCTTCTTCTTCTTCTTCTTCTTCTTCTTCTTCTTCTTCCTCTTCTTCTTCCTCTTCTTCTTCTTCTTCTCCTCCTCCTCCTCCTCCTCCTCCTCCTCCCTTCCTCCCCCCCGATGGTGTGGCTTTTGGTTGAGCTTTGGTCGCATAGGGCGAGTTGTGGGGATCTGGTCGCCGAGCAGCTGCAGCAGCAGCTGGGCGCTTCTGTGGCGCGCCGCCTCCACGGTGCCGCTGAGGAAGTGGACCTACGGTCTAAGAAACCTACAGGAGATTCGATAGGAAACCCCTGATTTTGGTTGGTATTTGGCTAACTTCCTGTAGAATTTCCTGTAGCTGGTTTCTATGATACGGCGAAGAAAAAAGGAGGGCGTTCGTGTTTCTATGGTCAGCTCCCCACTGAACCGAATCGGTGGGTTGGAGCCGGATCGGTGGCTTTGGGCAAGGTGGAACCGAAGATTGTAGGTACCGTTTATACATGCCAAAACAAGCGGGGCTCCTCATCACTGATGATGAATCCAGAGTCAATCTTACCGGCCCAAGGACATGTCAGCCCTAGGTTAGTGACATCCTCGAGCTCAAACGGAACCACAAAACGACCCAACAGCATGTTTGAGTTCACTTTAACTCACCTCCAATCGTGTGGACTGGCCAAACAAAAGTCCAAACTTGTTGCTTACTACAACATAGTCTTCCAACAAAGTGTATAGTCCAAAAACCCAGAGAGTGAGTTAAAGGGGACTGGCTCGGAAGGCTTGGCGCTTATGGCGGTATGGCGCTTATTATGGTGCCGGTTGAAGCCTCTGGTTGCCATCAGTCTTAAGACAAGCTGACACTGAGCAGCATTTCCTTTTTTTGCTTGCCCTCCGATTTGTGGCCCTTCTGCCGAAACCGTTCTTGGTTGACAGCTTGTCTGGTTGGTTGACACGCTTGCACAGATCCCGGGGCAGGTTCTCCATTGCAGGCGTGCCCCGAGATCTGACGAGAAGGTGATCAGAGCTGTCATTATTTCCCATCTTGGAAGCGGGCAGGCAGCTCTGGAAGACGAAGCCATCCCCTTCAAAGAGCCCTACACGTCCCCTTGTTGGAACATCCATCGTTCGATCCGGCGATCGAAAAAGCGGAAACAATTCAGCCCCCTTCCCCCAGAAAATCGCTTCGCAGCAAAAACGCGTCGAAATCCCACGGTTTGAAATGGGCCCACCCTCGCCCCAGCCCCAAACGGCACGCTTCGAAACTGCCCGCTTTCAACTGGGGACCCCGTACCCGCACGGGAGCGCCCTTGAGCTGCCTCAATGGGTGGAAAGCATTGGATTCTCCGCAAGTCAAGCAAAGATCCGGATGCATTATACACCTGAACACTGCCTTGCAAATGGTGGGTTCAAAGTGTATCTTTTAAGGAGCCCTGTCAAGGGCCGAGTCAAAAAATGGCTCTGGGTCAAAACCCATCTTGCAAATGGATGTTCATCCACCCCAAAATGGAGCCATAGGTTATGCCCCGTATCCAAATATATGAATGGGCATAGGTCGCCTTTTGGACAAATAGATGGATTTCCCAGATGAAACAAAACCCCTCTAAACCAGGGCCATCTATTTTAACCAGGCTCACCTAAAAAGGACACCTATGTGATTGGGGTGGGGCCGTCTTTCGCCATAAACATGTCTGCTTTGAGGCAACTGTTGTATACAGGCTGCATTTCCAGCATATTGGTCGCTCGATCATTGTCAGACCATCTTTGACTGGGTTGCAGCTTGGCGCTTGGGCACCTTGTCGCAAAGGGCATTTTTGTGACCGCCCCCAAAACGGCTACGAAAACATGTCCTTCCTGTCGGACGCTTAGGCCTCAATGTGCGAAGCGGAGCCCAGCTGAAGACCATTTGGACGCAACTGGGCTTGGTGTCACGGTCTGCCTTCGGCCAAGCTCATACATCCCCCAAAACAAAGGAAACCAAAGGAACCCGAAGAAACCAAAAGGATGTTAAAAGGACGCCAACAGAAATCCGCCTAGGAAAGCCACCAACCGCCTTCCACAGACGAGGTATGAACAGTAGCAAGTCCTTTGTGGGCATTTATCCAATGGAAGCTCACCCCAAGAATAAAAACCCGGCAGATTATAAGGGCGTGTAACCCCCCAGTAGTCAGCCAGGTTGCTTGTTAAGTGGGTCCCCTTTCTATAGCTGGTCTGTATGTCATTCCTCCCGCACTACATAAATATATACATACATATATATATATATAAGAACCTTTTGTACACTGATAGGTTCCCACTTGCGGGAAACACTCGACTTGCGGGAAACACTCGACTTGCGGGAAACACTCGACTTGCTCGTGTGATGGCACCACCCGTTCCCAGAAGATGTCTTCCTAAAAATATCTTGCACATTTCCGCGTTGAACTGGTTCTCATTGCTGGATCCACTGACATACTCCCTCTAAATGGCTTGTCATTGCACCTCCGTGATTGGTTTCCTTTTGGTCTTCCATTCAAGTCACCGATGTTGAGCCAACACCCACCTAGGCCCCCAGCCCCCTTCACCCCCCAAACCGCCACCCCCCCCGCCACCCCGCCCCCCCGGGCCCAGCCCATGCCCCAAGCTCCCGGCAGCAGCGTGAGGCTGGCGCGCATCTTCTCGGCCACTGGAGTACCCACCCGCAGCAGCCCCAAATGCACCTCTCGGGTCTGCAAGCCAAGTGCGGTGACCAAAAATGCAGAGGTGCAGCGGGCTACGTTTTTAGCCTGACGCCTTGAAGCCCTGAAGACTCGTGTCTGACGCCTTTTTAGCCTGACACCTTCAGTGGATACCCCAGCTCGATATTGGCTGTGCTGGGTCAAAACCGTTAAACGGGATCCCATTTTGGGGTTTTAGGTAAATTCACCGCCCATTTTAGAACCGATTTTAGTGGGGATTGGGATGTTCACTGGGGGTACGATTTGGATTTTGACCCATGGCCAAATCTCTCCGAGTCGACCCTAGAAGAAATGATTCTAGAGATAGAGCATCTTCTCTGAATACATGACTTTGGAGTCCTGCCCTTTCATCTTCTCCGAGTCGACCCTAGAAAAAATGATTTTGGAGACAGAGTTGGATGACTCCTTTGAGAATACTGCACTCAAGGGTCCCACTTTTGCTGGGTGAATTGATTTGAGGGAGATGCCCTTGAAGCCTAGCCGAATCAAGGTTTCCTCTACGAAGCAGAAGCGGTTTTTCTCATTTTGTGAGGGGGGGAGCAGGGTCGTGTGAAAGTCAGAGTCTGCTACTGCCCAGCATGCGGATTGGCCTCTGAGGTCGCCGTGTCTCCGTTTGGGAACCGCAGGGACGTGCATGACACCGGCCAAGCAGAGAAAGTCGATTGGCTTGACCAAATGCAAGGCACTCTTGCAAGAGGTCAACATGTTTGCAACAGGTCCTTACATGTAGACAATCCAAAAAGGGAACTCTCCGTGAAGTACATGACCCGACAAATGTAGGGATGGCAGCCCTCGAAAGGCCAGTGAGAAAAGAACAGAAGCTGCCAATGCACAGAACAGGCATGCCCCAGAGGTCCTTTCCAAACCTATTGGTTGGAACTGCCCCTCACCTTCCACAAAAAAAACGGCTTCAAGTGTGGCTCCAAGGAGTGGCTTCAGATTACTCCTCTGCGCATTCACATGGAGCCCAACAAGGGGCTCCATTTCCCAGAAGGAGCTTCTTGGAACGGCATTGCGGGTTCCAAGCCAGGCAACAGATCGCACGAGCTGGTGTGTGTCAGGACCCCGTGGAAGTCCAGCCCGCAAATGCTGTAAATGCCAGCACTGGACACCCTGAAACCTGGCCCCCCCCTGCCCACCTTCTTTTGGTTGGAGGTATGGTGGACACGTTGGGGTATCTCTTTTTGGCGTGCGCGCTGCGGGTTTGGTGATCCCCCCACCCCCCCCCCCACGGCCCCCGCGCCGTGGGGCTCCAGAAGAGCAACCGGAGGTAGGCCTGTGCATCTGTCGTGTGCGCGGCTCGTGTGGCTCCTGGGCTTCTATCGCCCGCGCGTTCGGTGTCTTGTGGGAGACCAGGCGGGTTCTAGTAGGTAAATGAAAATCGAAATATAGGGGTTCAACCATCTAGGTGCAAGCAACCAGCGGCATCCCACCTATCCCACCTATTCCCAGACTGACCTAGAAAGGATGCGTGTGGTCAACTTCCTACTACTTGGTGGCCCCTTGGTGTGGTTAAGGGCTCATTTCCCCTTTGCGCCTCCACAGGAAGGGCTTCAAATCCATATCCAAACCGCCGGGCCCCAGACCGCCAACCAAGCGACACCTATGTCACACTCAAAGCCCGGTATGTTGTACGGTCGTAGTCCCAGAGCCATGTAAAGCATTCAGACGGAAGGACATGCGCAGCTGTTTATGCTTATTTGGGGATCGTCCCCCAACCTTCCATGAAGGGGAGATTCCTCAAAAGCTTTTTGGGGGGGGCCCTGGGGGGGGGAGGGTTGGGATCCAATTTGATTCATCCACCGCATCCGGTTTTGAAATTTGGAACCGCGCGCCCTCCGCTCGGAAAAAAGGGCACTGCGAGGGTGTCGGCGGCGGCACAGCCCGCCTGCGCCTCCGCCAGCATCCCCCAGTGGGACTCGAAGGCCTCGGGACCCCGGACGCGCTGACCCGGGGACGGAGGGGGGGGGGGGGGGGCTCTCCAGGTCGCGGGGGCGCAAACTGGGCCAGGATCCGAAGGGCTGGAATTCGGACCCCAGCAAAAAAATATCTTTTTTGCCTGGTGAGTGGAAAACAAAAAGGAACCCCAAAAAAGCAAAGCAAAAAGGGGCGCTAATTCTGGGGAAGGATCCGAAGGAACCAAGAACCAATCCTATGGCTGGAAAGGGGCATCGAAAGCTGGTTGCTGGCACCCAGTGGGCTGCTCTTCTTAAATCAACGGATGTGCCCAGGTTTCTGGAAGCCAGGGGGCTCAAGAAAGATGGCTTTCTCCAAAAAAGAATGGTCTCCAAAGGATTCAGCTCAAGCCATTTTCTACTGGGAGCCTGGCTTGGCTTGCACATACTTTTGCATACTTCTGTCAATGAGAATGATGGGAGCGCTTTGTGCTCGGACGGCCGTATTGTTTTCAGCCTAAGTTTGTTGGCCGCATGTGTTTTCCTTGCAAAGCGGTACTTCCTCCCTCGCCACTAAAGCGCGTGTTTTTGTTCGCACGTTTGTTGCCGCGTTCTACACAGCATGGGAATTGCGTCCTTGCCTCAAGCTTCACAGGTCAAGTCAAGCCATTGTGCCGGAAGGCCCACTCCCCAAAAGGTTCGCACACACAAGCGAACCTGAGCCGCACTCACACCGCGGCTGCGTGGAGTCTTCAGAAAACTTTAAGTAGGGAACAATAGAAGCCCTGTACAGTCAATACTGCGCAATTGTGATATCGCCGCCATAAGACCGTCTCATTCGACGCTCGATTACGCGTGTTTAATTTTTTCCGTTGGTTGTGCTTCTGCCTCTCTGAACGGATTGGCCAAGAACTGAAATTGTGGTTTACCGGTTTACCACTAAAATGCTAGGGGTTGATTCCCCATTCTTTTCAACCATCGTTTTTTCAAAAACCGGCTGTTTCCCCTGGGTTTTTGGTGGTTTCCTGAAAAGAAGGATCCCTGGAAAGAATGGGGAAGGTGCCCCTAGAAAAATGTTATTCCAAACGTCGACTAACATCCAGAAACGGGGATTGGCCATCCTTGCTAAATACCTCCTTGCTAAATACCTGAGGAGGTACATGAAGTTGACTAAGTTGCTATAATTCAGGACCTGGATATAGAAAGCTCTGAGTAAAGGACCTTCATCATGGGTGAGCTCGCTTTCCCCGTGGGTGAGCTCGCTACAAGTTGTGCAGTTAGATTGCACATAGGGTGCCAAAGGAGTCTAAAAATCGCAGGGAATCAGGGAATGACCGGCGACCTGTGGACTGCGGCGCCAAAGCCAAAAGGGACACTCCCAGGTGGAAAGAGGTATGGCCTTTTCACTTCTCTGCATGGTTCTGGGTCATGTGACCATTTTGCTGCCAGGTTACTGAGCCACAATCAAAACCAGGGACAATATCGGCCAGAAATAGGTATGGCCGCCGTCTTGCTGGTGCTCAGTTGGGAATGACCCAAAGTTTGGGAATGAACCTAGGATTCCTTTGAAGGAAATCGCAAGGGATGGGTTTTTTTGCACCCGCCGCCGGCGTGTCGATTTGGGCGCCTCTTTGATCCTTCGCAAGAGCTCGTCCTCGGGGGCCGCCTCGGAGCCCGAAGCCGTGCGGGGGGCTGCTTGGAGAATTTCCTTTCGACTTGCTTGACGTTGGACGGGGAGCAAGAATCTAAAAAAAAATCGCACTTAAGTGGTTGGATTTCAACCACTAAACCACAATAAGCAAAAATGTAAAATGTTTCCCAACAACAACCATGTCGAAGGGGGTCTCGTTCTTTGAAGTTGAAAAATGTGCTGCCTGCTAGAAACCTTTCTGCCTCGGACCCATTAATGTGCGCCCCGCAGAATGTCATGGAGGAAGTTCTGATATGCGATCGGAGCAAAGGAGATGTTGCACACGCCCTTCAGTCATGGAGAAAGTGGTGCGTCTCAGGCGTCTGCAGGTGGAATCAGATTCCTTCCTCCGGGGTGGCGAGAAAAGCAGCAGATGGAGGCTCTGCCAAAGCAGCGCATGGATTGAAAAATTGTGGAAAATCGCTAGGTTGCGGGGCTAGGCATCCGCTTCGGCACTAAACCGGCTTTGACCTGGGTCCTCAAAATCTTGTACCCCCCCCCCAATATTTGCTTCGCTTTCGCGCTTTTGAAGTGAAGTGGCAGCCAATCAGCACCACTGACCAGCATTTAAAGAAGGCTCCAAGTCAGGAAGCTATCCTTTCACGCAAAAGCCGAGTGGCAGGCAGCGCAGCTGAGTGTCCGGCGCGCACTTTCGGCGGGTATAGCACCTCAAAGAGCAAGTACCTCGTTGCCACGCGGCAAAACCAGCCACCTTCGAGCACAAAAAAAAAGCATCCCGCTACTTAGAGCCACCTCCAAAGCCTGTGATTGGTACGAGCAACTTATTGTGACTGATGAAAACACATGGAACGCGTGGGTTTGACACAGCTTGAATGGTAGGTGTGATGCCAGCTCCAAGAAAACTAACAATCACATCAGCAGCTTGAGAGACATGGTGCTGGGTTGACACCGTATTGGGCTTGCCGCTCGTTGGTGCTCAACAAAAAATGCCCCAACGGGCTCGGCAAAAATGGCAGAAGGCATCCCGCGGCGAGGTGGACAAATCCACCTGGAAACGTACCTGCTTCCCCGAAACCATGGAAGTGGACAACTTCCATTTGGTTCCGACCCCTGGAAAAAAAAACGTAGTGATAGATTCCCTTTAAAGGGAAAATAAACAATATTATTGAGCAAATGAAAGACAAAGGTTTGTTTATAGCTGCGCATCTTTCCCAGACCTTTGTCGGCTATGTTTGTAGGATGACGCAGGATTAACAAAACTCTTGATCACGGGGGTATCCCATCAGCGGGAGCCGCATACCTTTCTTGGAGCAACAACCCTCTTATACACCCTTCCGGAGGTTCCGAGGCTCTGATTCGCAAGTTGGAAAGAAGGATTCGCCCAAGGACCTTCAGTGGATACCCCAGCTCGATATTGGCTGTGGTTGTCAAAACTAATGGGATCCCATTTTGGGGTAGGTGAATTCACCACCCATTTTACGACCTATTTTAGTGGTTGGATTGAATCGGATGTTCACTGGGGGCTAACAGGCTTGGCTTTTGACCCATGGCCATATGCAATTTGAGATAGATGTGCCTTCCCGTTTGCTTCAAGCACTCAGGAAGCCGCCCCCCCATGTGTATCCCATTGACACCCCGCCTCCGCTTGCTGGCCACCATTGCCCGTCGCGCACACGAGCTCTAGGCTTGGCAATGTTTGTTGATTTCCCGAATTGGGGTTGATCAAAGGCCGTTTACAGGGGGTGAGCATTAGGAAAACCACCAAGAAAGATGACACTCACCATTCAATGGGAACAGTGACCCCATCCTCATTTTGGCGCCATTTTTTTTTGATCAACCCCCAAATGCGGCTCTTAGCAGAACAAGGACTTGCTAACACCGAGCATGCCGGAGCATCTTGAAAGTCTGGCTGTGCGCATATGCATCGTGGCAGATGTCCTGCAAAACATGAATCTGGAGCTGTCATCAGCATGGATGGCAACTTATCTGACGTAATGTGACATGCCTGAAGCATCCAAAATATACCAAAGCCTTGAATAACGTGGTTTCCTTCCCTCTTCTGACCGCTCAAACTCCATCCAACGCGAGTCCACTACTCTCAGACTGACGCGCAATGCAGGCCCCTCGGGATCGCAACTTGAGGTCTCTACAGGGCGGCACGGCTCAATGCAGACACTGCAGATCTACCTAGAACCCGGAAACTCATTGCTTCAGTCTGTGTATATTATTTCCATATATATATATATGTAAACACGGAGGAACTCTCTTTTGGGGAACCGCACTTTTGGATTGCATGTTAAGTTGCCGGGGAGTGAAATGCCGCATGGGGCGCCACATCCACCTGTTGCTCCACCATTACAGAGTTTGACCGGGCCAGAAGAATCTGAACCCCCCCAAAACAAAAAACAAAAACATGTGTTTGCTGGTTGAATCGGATAATGAAGAAAGACCAAAAAGGCAAAAAGTTGCGAAGATGAGCTAAGTCTGAGAATGAAAAGAGGGGTATAGAAGAAAGGATTCACATCTGCGCTGGATTTGTTCCAGAAATGGTCCAGCAAGACCAGGTCCTCCAGTTTTGCTGTGGTTTCTTGAACAACCTGAGCTGATCTTGTGTGCGGAGAAGCATGCTACAGGTCCCTATATTTCCCCGTAAAACATCACCCCCACCAAGGGACACTCATCTTTCATGGGCCAAAAAGGTGATGTTTGAAACCACCAAACACGGGAATATATAGGGACCCCTGTTGTATTGGATGCATGAACCAACATCAGCACGTGTAAAACACGGAAACACAGACGCATACAAATACCAGAGTTGCCCGACACACCGGAGGGGGGCGAGCCGAATCGCTTCATGACGCAGTACACGGTCTCCGGCACATACTCCATAACCTTGACACATAGTGGGTGTGGGTCAAAATTAAACCGCCAGGGGACCGCAGGTTTTGGTCCATGTTGCCACTTACCAGGGTTCCATTTTGGGTACCTAGTTTAGACCCACAGCCACATCAGCCAGAGCCTTAAAGTGCTTGATGTGGGTCTGCTGAACTGGGGGACAGCCAAATCGATTCGTGGTTTTTTGGCAGGAAAGAAAAGCGTTGCAAGGGGGTCAATCGCTCTCGCGATTTCAGAACTTGATCCCCTTCAAGAACTGGATCGACTCTCCCGTGAAAAATAATGGGAGCACGGGAAGATATCCGAAGTCCTAGTTGCAGTTTACCAACATGGATGTGGCTTCCGATTTTAAACTTGGTGAAGGGAAAGCCGCGGTCGCTGACGATAAACGATGATTAATAGTCAACCCATTAAGAAATCCCTGCCTATTTTTTGGGGGGTGCCCCTGGTTTGAGTGGGAAGTTCTCACTTGCGGGGCCCCCACCCCACCATTTCTCACAGTTAACACGGCGTCATATCGGAGGGGGAACGATACACCCCCAAATGAGTACAGGGGTTTCTTCATCCCGGGTCCACCTGGCTGCGGGTCAAGAGTAGGTACCCAAAATAGAACCCTGGTACATGGAACCAAGGACTGAAGCCGGTCCAATTCCTGGTGTTTTCATTTTGACCCATACAAAACCAATGGGATCCCATTTTGGGGTAGGTGAATTCACCACCCATTTTAGAACCGATTTTAGTGGGGATTGGGATGTTCACTGGGAGTACGATTTGGCTTTTCGCCCATGGCCACCTGACGCTGACTCTGGCTTCACCCCGGCCAGCAAGCGCTTTGGACGTGGCGAAGCGCACGAGCTGAGCGCCGGCGCCATGTTGAGATACAGCTCGTCGGGGGAGTCCCCGGAGGTGTAGAAGGCGTGCTGCCGGGGAGACGCGGGCGGTGTTGGCCAAATGCGGCGACCGTATATTTCCGCCAGCCCACGCCTGCTGCTTTTAAAACCCCCCCACCTGGAGCCAGAGGCCCTCCAGGAATAAAACGAAGCACCCCGTTTTTGGGGGGATGAGTCTTGACAACATGAACCCCCATACAACCAGAAATCAGGGTACCGGAGAGCGACGGAAAGGGTCTTCTCGGCCATGATGTCTCAGAGAGCTCATTGCGGGTGTCCCATATTAGAGGACATCCTTCACTTTCTGGGGTAGCATCACCAGTTAAGCAGTCCGGGACAAACAGTAGATCTCAAATCTTTTTGTGGGTGGGCTCGAAAAGCCAGAAGCATGGCATGAAACCACCGCCTGGAAAAAAAGGCAGATTTGTTTTTGTTCGATGGTGTGAATCAAATACCCAAGCATGTGGTTTAACCACCACAATTTTAACTACGGCTGGTTTCCCAGCGCTGACCGTATCACTGGAGCGTGTCAAATCGCTTCCCCAGGTACTTGACTGCACAAGGCTCAAACGCTATGTGAACTCCGGGGCCGTTTTGGACCCTATTCTTGGCTGGTTTCTTCGGACGGACGATATTTTTAGATAGTTTTAGATGCTAACAAAATGTCCACCAAAAGTCAAAACATGTTTCTGGGGATTCACAAGCAGTGCAGAAGAAAGTCACAACTACAAGAACCCATCTTCCACCTCCCCCCCCCCACCCCACCCCACCTCCACCCCGCCCCGCCCCCAGCTGTCTCGCGCTTTGAAGCCCCGCCTTCAGGGTCACGATGTTGGGGTGGTGCATCTCCCGCCAGACTTGCAGCTCCCGGTTCCGGTACCTTCTGTCCACAAAGACCTGCGGGGATTTTCGGGAGTTGTCGATTTCAAAAACGCCGCCTGGCCCGTTTTTCTTAAACAATGGGTGTAGCCACGGTTTGATGGTACGGTGGGTTTTAAGTGGGCGCGCGGGTGTCGGGATTTGAGGGTGGTTTTATGTGGACTGGTTTAGCCACGGTTTGACGCTAAGGTGGGTTATTCAGCATGGCTTAGGATTTGCTTTAGGTCGGACTGACATTGGTTTTAAGGAGGTTGGCTCAGCTGGTTTGAAGCAAGTTGTTTCAGGTGGATGCAAAAATATTTTTTGGGGCGGGTTGCGCATTGGTTTTTGGCTGGTTTCAAAGGTGGGTTGAAGTTTTGCTTGGAGTAGGCTGAGGATAGGTTTAAGGCGGCTTTACTTTGGCTTGCCGCTGATTTGGGGCTGGTTTGGACGTCCAGCTGCCCAAGTCTGTGCAGTTCACGTAGCTCTTTGACATGCCGGACAAAGCGTCTGAGTGCCAAGTCAGCCGAAGAATCAAATAAGGCAACCACAATTCTGGAGACACTTCCCTCTTGCCCAAAAGACTTGGAAACGAAAGGTTAAGCTAACAACTAGAAGGAGACCAAAGCTGCAAGACCAAGCCGGTTCTTGCCAAGTGAGTCTGCGCACATGGCCACAGTGCAATTCCCAGCTCTACGCAGTTTGGACGTTCTTCCTCAGGGGAAATCAGACATGTGGAGCGGTCCCTCATCTTGACTTGTTCGGCACACCATCTAAAAACGGACAAATAACATCCGAAACCGTATGTATCAAGAAGCAGGTCTGGGTGTGTTGGTGCTTACTCCATGGCCTCCAACACTGAAAGCTGATCGAGGCTGACTACTGTCCAATTGGATTACATCCCTGTTCCATTGGAAAGAGGCCAATCGACCCCATGAAATGAACCCTTATCTTCAAGTGAGCGCCCAAAACCCGTTGACCTCTGCTTTTAGCGATATAGCTGTGGGTCGAAAATAGGTACCCAAACTGGAACCCTGGTAAGTGGAAACATGGACCAAAATCTGCGGTCCCCTGTTGGTTTAATTTTGACCCACACCCATATGGTCAAGGCTTGCGTGGGCCGTACTATAGCCTCATGTGATCGAGTAGAACCTCCTGAAACCACTGGAGTCTTGGGCTGACCTTAGGTCGCGTCGCGCCTTCTTAATGGCCACGGTCTCATTGGTTTCCACGATATGCGCAGAGTACCTAGTGGACGCCCGCCGGGTTCAGGGCAAGTGGAATCCTCTGTAGGTCAATCTGGTGTTGGTTTGGTTTACTTGCAAAAAAACATTGCTTCTGCAAATTGGACGATGTTGGGGTTGATGACTGCGACCATGATGCATGATGAGAAGGTCCGAAAAAGTCCACCCCCAGACGCAGCTGAGACAAATCATCCGTCATGTGCCTATAAAAAAACTTCGAGCGAACGCAAAGGGGGATTCAAGACCTTGGACCTGCATATGCCGCAAGAGAGAGCCATCTACATCCATTGAATCGCCTACCTCTGCAAACAGACATGAGAAATGCCCCATTCGCTGCGGCAATACGTCAGTGCACAGTAGAGCGTCATAGCATACTCACGGACATGAGGGCACCCAGCATAGATAAAGCGTCACCTTTTAGGGCCCTGACATAAGCCGGGTCCTTGAATGCTCTCTCAAAATGACCCTTCGCAGCATAGCGAAATACACACCCGCCGGCCCCACGCAAGACATCTGAAACCCCCTACCCTCCCACCAACTAACATGGAAGTGCACAAAGCTTTTCCCAAGAGAAAAGTAGTCATTCTACAGGGGGTCTGAGCACTTCCATGTTAGTGGGTGGGAGGGTAGTAAGCTGGTTGCCAAACAACAGAATCCCAAGAGTCAAGTAGCAAGTGAGTCCCTTGAGCGCGCCAATGGATGACGGTGGGTTGCACGCGGCATACGCCCCAAACCTCTTTGGTGGGAGCTCGGCACGACCCACAGTCCCAGCTCTTACAGCTTTTACCTGAGGTCTGTTTGCACCTGCCTACATGTGAATGTCTCGTGTTTTGAGCCGCCAGTACCATCCGTTTCGGGCGTTGGGTGGGGGGGGGGGTCGACATGGCGCACACGATGCCGAAGGTGCCGTTGCCGATCACCCGCTCCGCATTGTAGGTGCACTAGCCGCCGAGCAGCGATCATGTCGGGAATAGATGGCGCTGGTCTTTGCGTTGGAACCACCTTGAAAGTGTCATCTGTGTTCAAGCTGCCTGACCTAAACAGGATACTTCTGGTGTATCGTCTAGGGAACCATGAGTGGATATTTCAACGAACCCCAGTGTGTTACAGAAAAATTCCTGCTACGCCCTCAGTTTCCAAATTGGGGGCTGTCTTTGTTTGAGGGTTCCAACAAGCAAAATGTAATCAAAGGCCCCGGAGTCTCCTTGCGCCCTGACGCGGCCTTGAAAGCCAAGTCGACCCTCGTCTTCCTTTGACCCAATGGAAAAAGCTGCTTTTGCTTGCTGCTTCGTAGCATAGATATTAAGGGTCTGTCTTTTTTTGAGCTTGTACCCCCCTTTTTTGGTGGTTTTAAAAGGAAGCCAAGAGAAAAGCACCAAAGCCGGGGGAAAAAACACATCGAGCCCAAAGAAAGACACACCCTTCCGTGTTTGCTGGCTGGGGCAAAATGCCGTCGGTTTCGAACAGTTCGATTCCAAAGTCGAAGGGTCGATACTTGAATTCAAACCAGCTGCGTCAACTAGGTCCTCCAGATTTGAGAGGTTAGAATAAGTTGGCACCCGACTTTTTTTCCGGTAGTCTATTTTAGTAGGGGAACCCTCCCCTAAAAAAGACGGGAAAAGGGAGCTACTGGGGGACCTAGTCAAACAAATCCTCCCCTACAAACAAACACGGAACCCCACAGAAGCAGTCGGGGGGAAGGCTCCTCGTTGATTTCTACTTGGCTGGCGTTGGAAGGGGAGCAAACATCTGAAGAAAAAAAAGCAGCTAAGTGGGAAAACTTCAACCACTCAACCACAATAAGCAAGGAATTCAGCAGTTAAGTGGGAAAATGTTCAACCACTCAAGGATGTATTGTAGCTTTTTCCCAACAACAGCCATGTCCAGCAAAGTCCGGTGAGCTGAGACCAAAGAGCAAACTGCCGCTGCTTTCAGAAGGCCTGCTCAGCCTCCTCAGGCTCTGGCCTGAGAACCACGGGGGATCAGCTGGATTGAGAGTCAAAGTGGGACCAGACCCCCAAGAATCCCAATGTTTTGTGGCCTTTGAATCAAAGAAAGAGGCAGAAGAAGCCCAGGCAGTCAAAGTGGGGTTCCAGAGTCCTATTCTTGCAACTTTGGGAATACCAAAAAAAACTGAAAAATGGCTGTGGCTCAAAAAACCGGTACCCAAAATGGGTTGCCCTGGTAAGTGGAAACATGGACAGAAACCTGCGGTTTGCCCCTCCGATCGGTTCATTTTGAGCCACACCCAAATGAGCCCAGGTGAAGAGCTCCCCCAACAGAAGCCCCTGGAAGCTGACCGCTTGGAGTGGGGAATGGGAACCCACGAAAGCCGTTGCCTCCGTTTCCCGCAAATCCTTATCTGGAGAAAATGGGCCAAACCCTGGGAACATGAAAGAAGGATGGACCCACAGATATGTGGTGCCCAAACATGGGGAAGAAACCCTTTTCGATGATGTTTACAGAAACACTACGAAATCCAAACAGTTTGTGAGACGCCTTGTTTTGCAAAGAGGAAACCCGCCGGCACTCCTGTTTCCAGATCTCACTTGCTCAGAAAGACTTGATTTCAGAAGGTGAAACTCTGGCACGGCAGCCGGAAACACGCTGACACTTGGCAACCACCCGAAAGACTGAGTGGCCCAACACGCGGTTATCCCTGGAAAAGAAGAGGCAAAGAAGCGATAGGAAATGACCAGGCCACACTCCAACCAGCAGCTTCCACCTTGGAAAGTTTCGCAGGATCTCTGCAATGTCCCCTTCTCAGCAGTCATCATTTTCAGGCTGCTTGCCCTTTGTTCTCCTTCAGCGATTCACAAATGTATATGACATGCCTTGCTTCTTCACAGGTAACCCTACCGTTTCTTTAGCCCTGGCTGTTCAGCATGTCATGCCCAGTTTGTCAAAGCTCACATTGTCAAGTCGTTGCAGCCCAAGGCCCGGGAGCGGGGGCCAATCTTCTAATGACCCCGCATTAAGCAGAACCCCTGGTTGATTTTGATCGGGGGGTGTCCAATTCCTTTTAGTGGTTGGATTCAGACATAACTTTTGGAGGGAACACCCCCCCCAAGACATGGGACGGTGAGTCCCCCTTTTAGTGGTTGGATTCAGACCACTTTTGGAAAAAACACCCCCCCTTTCTTGTGGGACTGGTTTATGAATCCTGGGTGAACATTACTCAAAACCAACGCTCTTCGGGACCTCGGGTCTTCGCAGCCCGCTCTCAACGACCCCGCGACGCGCAACCGCTCTGCGACCAGAGCGGCAGGGCAGCTTCCTGACACGAAAGCGGGCGCAGTCTGACGCAACGGTTGGGGCTGAAACCAAACTTCGGCCCCAGTGCCAATTAACGCTACGAGTACCAGTGAACATTGGCCCTAGGCACGTACTGTGACAGCTAGGTCCTCCAGATTTGAGACGTTAGAATAAGGGTACCCGTTTTTTTTGTTTTGTTTTTTTTTTTCCGGTAGTCTATTTTAGTAGGGGAACCGAATCTCCCAACCAAAAAGGACGGTAAACGTTGGCACCAAGGCGACCGGAAGCCCTTTAAAGGAGGCCCTCAAGGACTCCAGGACGAAACAAACAAGTAACCTCTACGGTTGCCCCGTTCGCCCTGAATCCTTGAGTTCGTGGAACCCGGTCACCAGCCTTGACGCCTGGAAGGTCTGAATTGCCTTTCACTGGGGCCCTCGATTCGGACACGGAGAGTGCGGAACGTCGGATCGGCCATCCATTCTGAGTCCAGCCCTAAGAAACCCCGAGAAACAGCCCATTCCTGGAGATGATGTTTCAGCGCGCATGATCATGCGTGGCAGATCCCCGTGCTGTGGAAACAGCTCCAGGGAAAGGTCATTTTTCTGGCAGACTTCTCAGCTTGGACTTCTCAGCTTGAAGCTTAGCTCGGACGAGTCTCAGCCTTTGAGGACAGCTCCCATTTTGGTTTCAACAGGAACCACTTCCTTCAACAATTCGCCCGGCCGGCCCACCAGCTCCCTCACCAACCTCACCCAGCGCGCTCTGTTGTTCGATTCTCGTTTCGCAAGACAGTCGACTTGAAACGGATCTGGCGAAGTCGCTCTGACGCCCAGGCGCGGCCTGACGCGCGAGATTCCAGCTCACGCCGGCGCTTGAGGCCCAAGCGGGGGCTGCCAGGGTCAAGTGGGAACGCTTGATTTTCGGGGGTGGCACGAGCCTATGGATACAGAGCTATATGCGTCGGCAACGTACACACACATGTGAGTCTGGAAATAAGTGGGAATACGCATGCATAGTGCCAGGGTGTGCAAACATGCATAATGCATATATATATATATGTATATGTATAAAAATACGCATGAGGCATACATGCCGGCGATTGACATACCCATGCAAAAATATAATTACAATATATATATATATATATATGTGTGCGCTGCTCTCCCCAGGTGTCCCAGGTTTGCTTGATTTGAGTGCGCAGGCCGCAGTGTTTTGACTATTTGTGCAGTGGACTTAAGCACAAATGAATGGGTTTTGCAGATAACTTGTTTTGGGTATAGACACAAACTGGAACATAGAAAGTCAAATTGAGCTCTCCCTAATGAAATCCTATGCATGGTCTAGTTAGTGTTCATTTGACGTCATATGTGGAAACGAACTCCTCTTTCAATTATCAATAGAAATGGAAAGTCTGATTGAATTATGTTCTTGTGAACTTCTATGTACCGTGTACTAAACATTTGATTAGAATCCAATTTGGTATAAAGAGCCTTCTGCGGAGCCTGGAAAGGAGCTTCATAAGGAGCCTCAAAAGGTGGGTTTTGTAAGCAGCTTCATAAGCAGCCTAAAAAAAATGCACAAGCAGCCTTCTGAGGAACCTTTCTGAAAATACGACCTGGGCTGTCCGCTTTGTGATCCCCTGCTAAGTACAAGCTTAACTTTGTTGGACAATGGAAAACTAGGTCCTCCAGTGGAGAGGTTAGGAACCCTTCTTCATCAAGCCTCGAAAACCGCTTTTGCAAGGAATCCCCAAATCAGCCTTACCAGCCCTTTGTTCTCAAGCCCTTTGTCAGCTTCGAAAGGAAGCTGTTCAACAGGAGTCACTTTGAAACCAACTGGGTTCTAACTTAAAATTCAGATTCTAACACAACTTATGGCCTGAAGCGAATTCCCCCCCGTCCTAATTCATCGGAGTCCTGGAGCTCACTTGAGTGGCTTGGCCAAAAGGTCAAAGTGTCTACCACTAAAACGCTCCCAAAAAGTACAAAGTCCAGGAAGGAACTCAGAGGGATGTTGTGTTTGGTGAGAGGGAAATGCGCAGGAAAACCAAAAGGCTCAGTATGCATTGTGTACGTCTTTTGTTTGTGAGGCGTGTCAGCAGCCAAACAGCTCGTGCTTGTTTGTGTTGTTTGGCTGTTTGAAGGAAGGAGACTGACTTCAAAAAGAAAAACATACTGAGAAATACCAAGAAATACTAAAACAAATTGAGAAAACAAAAAGGAAAACTGTTGGCAAAACCAAGACGCCGCCTTTGAGGCGCGTGTCTCGGTATTCTCCAACTTTGCGTGTCTCGGTATTCTCCAACTTTGTAGTCAAGTACCCAATGGTATTGTCGAAAGAAATAATTCATGTGTGTGTGTCTGCTGCGTTGAACAAGGAAACAACAACACGTGAGTTGTGTTTTGGAAGGATAATGCCACCAAACACCAGAAAAAACTGAGGAAACGACCCAAACAAAAATTCAAAACAAAACACCCTCAGCAAGCCCAACACAACGTCGTTTGGTTTTGTTGTTGTGTCATTTTGGCCCGGCCATAGCTAAGCCATCTTTGACTTGAAAAACTAGGGGAGTGTCACCTCAAGGGATTCTATCTTTCGCGCAAATATCATTCACCGTTGATGTGCTGATTCCGCCTGTTCTCTGCGGCACTACTTCTTGGTCCGCGTGGCCTGCTTGGCCGTCTTTTCCTTGGCCACCATTCGGAATGGCCCAAAACCCCTCAATCCTGACAAAAACAGCGAAAGTGCACCGAAAAACCAGGGCATCCAAAAAACGGAAGCAACAAAAAACGGGCACCACTGGGCCCTGGGCTGGGGAAAGTAGCCCTGTAGCGTACATCGCCCCTTCGCGGAAGCTGCGCTCGTCGCGATACGGTCTTCGCATCCTGTGCCCGGCCGCGCCGGGATTGCGCCGAGCGCCTCGTTCAGCTGCTCCGGTTGGGTATAGCCTGGCCCTTGCAGCCCGCCTTCAAATATGCACGGAACCACAAAAGTGGAACCCAAAAAACTCCTTAACTAAACTATGCCAAGAACAGTGGCATGTTTTGAGCCGGAAATTAAGGAAAACCATGGGAAATGAGGGGAATCTAAGGAAACACTGAACCCAGGGGCAACCTTGAAACCACAGTCAAGGGATTGGCTTGGAAAAATATGCTTGCGAAGTTTGGAC